TTCACGTTCATGCTTTTTCTTTTGTTGCAAACCAATACGCGCAATTTTGCTGCTTTGACAGTCATGAAAACCCAAGCAGCCCCCCGCGCGGGAGGCTACCTGTATATAGATGATAGATGGTAGTTTAGCTAGGTGACAGGCAGTCTCGATCTGCCCGTCGTATGTCCCGCACCGGGACCAGGGTTTTTCCGCTTCCGAGGTTCCCAAGGACGCGTGGAAAGGCCCGAACCTCGACGTAAAATAGACACACACACACACACACACCAACCACTAATCTCTTTAAGATGGCTGCCCTGTCGAATAATGTAAGTCTTATTGAACCCAAACCACTTCTAGGGTGATTATATGTCTATTAGACAGTTCTTTTTGTCGCATTCCAATCGCTTACTGGCTTGTTTAGAAGTGGTATTGTTGGTACTTCCGCCAGACGGAGGATTGAGCGTTAACTTAGAGCTTCTGGCTTACGAAATTTGTAAGCCAACAACCACTTGGTAACTAGTTGGCAACTACTTAGCAACTGCTTAAAAACTATTTGCTGGCTGGCCTTTAGGACGAAATCGGACATATTCTGATATATATATGTTATTTATGCAGGACAGGAGTATTAAATGTTTCCTTATTAAGTTGATAACTGTTCTGGCAAAGAGTGTATATACCACATAATCACACTATACATACGGGGTGAAAATATATATTGCGGTCCCAACCATAGTAAAATCAACTGCTTGACAACTACTTGACAACTACTTTACGATTGTAAAGATAATACTATGAATAAAACTTTGGCAAGTAGTTGGTGTCCTCCTGCATCACGCGGAGAGGAGAATATAATGTTAAGTTTGGATTCAATACAATACCTAACGAAATATCTCGCTTGGGCGGTTCCTGCTTAATAAGTGGCCTTGGCATCACGTGTTTGGGGTGTACCTCGCTTGGGTTGTTCGCGCACCTCGGGTGAGCTATACGCACACAATTCTCCTAATTGGGAAGCATAACTTGATGATTCAGCTGATACATTAAATTACTTGTATTTTACGCTTGTTCCAGTTTCGTTCCATCCTGGGTGTTGATATTTATCTACCTCCGCGTTGAAATTGAATAGACCGTGCTTGTATTTGGATTCTGCATATTTCGTTCTACTAGATACTTCCTAGCTCTGAGAGGTAGATTGTGTTGGTGGCCGTTTGTTTACTAGAATGGTGTGAATATCTAACTTCGTGCCGGAAATATATACTTGAGCACCAGAGGTCTATAGCACCATCGTTCGATCAAGAGCATCAACAGTTAAAGCCTTATTCCTTAATTATTTCACCGATTTCAAACCATTGATGGACAGTTTAGTATTTTGATTTAATATTTATCATATCGCAGAGCGCAACTCTTCTTGAAAAAAAACCGTGAATGCTGGGGGATCCCAAGACTCTTATCTCACGAATATCTTGGAGAACAGATAGCCCGGGGCACTGCCCTCTGCAGCCCTGGGATGAACAGACACCGATATGCTTAACTCGCTTCCTTCACCAGAGAAAATTTGATAAGTCCTTCAATTTTTTTTCCTTCACACGCAAGACTATTCGGTTGTGCTCATATGTCTCAACAGTCTGATATCTACTCCTCATCTCTCTATGAGGGTGACCCTATAGCTGCATTCAACCCGCAACCTACTGAGGCCACTCTAACCGAGACTCTTTCTTCGTCCCATGCCAATTCCGACAGTATTACACGATTTACTTCTCAGCCGAATCTCGACCAGCAGTTACTTATATCCCCTCCGGATTCCGACTTTTCTCACTCACTTGCGATCCCTTCAATTCTCTCACGTATTCGACCCGATCGTTTGACTGAATTCATCCTATATACCAACATGAATAAGGAGGTGTTTGTCAATTGGTGGCTACAAACAATATATGGAAAAAGCCCCAGGGCAAAAACGTTCAACTGGGATCGAACTGGGCATCTATCTGAAGTGTGGAAGCACTTTGATCAGATTGCCTCTGTTACTGATGGTTTCCCAAAAGTGAAATGTCAACGATGCGGCAAGATATTCAATCATCCCGGACATACCAAAGGAGGGACCAACTCGATGGGTAGACATTTGAAGGGAGAAAAATGTCGACGAGCTGCTGTACCAACTCAGCAGTCTAGTATTCAACAACTTATGCAAGATGAGGTTAGTCCACCATGCATTAGAATGTTCTGTATTAAAAATAGCTAGGCTAGCAAATCTTCGAAAAGTAATCGCCCGGTAAGTAGAGAAGAATGGGAAGAAGAGCTCATCAACACCATTGCTGCTCTACAGCTGCCATTGCAGATTGTGGAGCATCTGCAGTTCCAAAAGTTCATACAAGTATCTCATCTAGCCACTTCTTTGCCTGAATTTCCCTCTGCAAGGACAGTTGGCCGATGGCTGAAAAGTATTGTCCAGGAACGTCAGCAAAATATCCTTCAGAGACTTCCTGTAGGTACAAAGCTCTCCATTGCCCTTGACTGCTGGACGTCTCCATTTCAACAAGCATTTATGGCAGTTACGGGCTACTTTATAGATGACGATTGGAACTACTGAGAGATATTGCTTGGCTTCGAGCTGCTTCACAGAACACATTCCGGGGTGAATCTAAGTGCTGTACTTCTGGATCTACTCCAGCAGCATCAGATTGCTGACCGAGTACTGACAATTACCACTGATAATGCGTCGAATAATAATACATTGATGTCAAGCATTCGAGAATCTGTCCAGTTACTTGGTCTTGATGATGGCATTTCTATTATCCGGGTTCCATGCATCGCCCATGTTATCCAACTCAGTCTCAAACAGCTTCTTGGTCAGATGAAAGCCAATCCGAGAAATGAGACCGTTGAGATGTGCTCCGAAGCTCGGTCTCAATCAGTTCATACGAGCGCAAGGCAACAAAAACGGGAAATTGTGGATACTCTGAACAAGGTGAGCTATACAATTTATTAATCTACGAGACTACAAATATACCTTATATCCCTAACTCTCTCTGATCCTAGATTCGCAACTTGGCAATCTACATTAATGCAAGTCCTCAACGCCGCGAAGCATTCTATAATCTCCAAACTGGCTCGCCAAAGCTAGTTCCGATTCAAGATGTAAAGACTCGCTGGAATTCCACATTCCTAATGCTTCGTCGTGCAAAGCGATTGCAGTCCATATTTAATGAGTTTTGCTCCGAATATCGCCTTCGAGACCTAAAACTTGATGAGGAGGAATGGCGCCAGATCGAGTATCTTCTTTCTTCTTTGGATCACTCAGCCTTTCTATAAGTTCACTTCCCACATCCAAGTCGTACGATATAAGGCTTCTTACCTTGACATAGAAATTATTCTTGCCCTCGTTTGAAATGCCATAGATGGTTTGGAGTAGGGACATGAGTTTTTGTTGATCGACGCATTTTCCGTCAATCTGCTGCATAGGCAGAGACACCATGGCTGGTTTATATGTCATGAAAAACATCAGACTTGATATATCGAGTTGTAGGTTTGTTATCTATATCCGAGTCTGACTGGGCACAACGGCGTTCGTTTATACCCTGCGAGGGCCTAGTGAAAAACACGCCCAGCCGAGGGCACTTCCCCACTCATTTTCCATTGCTCTACACGAGGCACCCTGCCTATACTGTCGGAAGTATGTTGGGCTAATCCTTGCCTGAACTGCTCGACATCTATATTTAAAGATTTGACATTAGTGTCTCCACCGTCCGGGTGGTGGTTCCAGACGGATCACCAACTACGCCGCAAACACTGTAGGGCTCGGATAAAATGCTATTACGACAACCAGCGCAAGGCGAATGACTCTTGAGGTCAGTGCATAGATCCTGCGGAATATGGGTACAGAACACCAAACCAATTGATTTCCTTACATCGGTCCATTTCATCGGCAAATCAGTGAATCTTAATCCTTTTTCGGCGTTGTCCACCCATGCCAACCGTCCTATCCCTAGCAAATTCCACTTGAGGGCATGCATGTCGAAATTCAGATGGTAAATAATAGACTAGCCACGACTGATATAGCCTATTCGACCCCAGAGCGGACTTTAGGATTCTTTAACAGAGTAATTGACTAGATTAGATTACAGCCTTCATCAACTTGCGTTCCAAGGCGCCAGTCATCGTAAGAAAAATAATAAATCCCATGGCAAAAAACTCCGGTTCAAAACACCCCAGGAACAGATCTTTTCAAATGAATGCCCTAATAATGTACAGTTATCATTAGTAAATAGTACGAAGTTGTTTTGGCCGATGTGCTTCTGCCCCGCATGAAACCATCCGCTTTCTCTTCGGTCGACGGTCCAATCTAGCCCAATGAAAATCAATAATCAGGACCCGCCGCAGCTCAGCGTTCCATAGAATATTATCCGGTCGAAGGTCCTCATGCAAAACTCCGAGAGAGCGGATCTTCTTTACAGATTTCGAGATTTCACGATTCAACTCTTCCTTATTGAATTCTGGACAAGAAGGCATATTCTCGATACTGCTGATAGGCTTCCCACCCCACCCCATAAGTAGCATATGCCGAATTGCCCCAGCCCCATGGAGGAAGTAGGTCTTCTCCAGGTCAATTGCTCCTAGGAAAACAGGAACTGCAGAACCCTGAGCCTGCTGCAGGAAACGATATACCTCAGCTTCGCGCAAGAGCTCCCGCCACAGGCAGGAGGTCGTGCCTTTTCCAACAACAGTGTACCCATATGCAGCACAGGTGACCTTGAACGGCGCTCCTGATGCTCCACAGCCTCCCATTGGCGTACAGTTCCGGTCGATATTGTCATCCAGCTGTCGCTTCACCAGTTGCACCAAAGTTGTGGGATCAATGGCGTGTCGCCTACTGTCTCCGCCCTGTTTATGGAGCATCACATTCGGGCAGGCATCATCGAGCAGACCACCCTGCTGCAGGCCATGTAGACACCGTTGTGTACAAAAGCGTGCATTATGCTGCCCATGTCGGCTGTCTGAAATCTGTGATGAAGTCGCCTGGCGCACCACTCGTTGAACTGGCGGAGATGAACTAACCTCGCTAAAACCGCGTTTTCGTTGACCTGAAGCTTCAAAATCCGAATCAGGATCTGAGGAATCATCATAGTGTGTTGCGGTAAAAGGTGAGCAGCCAGGCTGAGACCGGGTTGGCGCTCGGCGTCCCTCAGCGGTAGAGGATTCTGCTGAGGATGATGACGGCGGCGGAAACTCAGATATGGTGGACTTGGGGCTAGAATAAGTGTGCTTTGAATTCGGGGTACTTTGTGGCGATTCAGATTCAGAGACTGGAGACCGAGTGCTGTCAAAGCTAGACTTCCAGATAGGGAGCTGTGCCTGCGCTTCATTTCGCCACTGTTGATCGCGGAGACGTGAATGAAAACTCATCAGACATAGACACAATACCCGGGCGATGGCCGTTGTTGGCTGCAGAAAACTTTGTTCATCTTCTGAGTTCACTTCCTCGTTCGGTTCACACAGATGGTAACACAGGGTGCCTGGTTCTTCATAGGGGACTCGCAGAAGGACTAATGCAAGCCCATTGGTCACATATGAATATTCAAGTCCTTCCTGGATCATCACATGATACTCTTGGGCAATCACCGATCCAATGATCCTTTCAGCTTTCTCGTCCTCGGTATTAGGGACACTGTGAGCCTTGACCACCTGTTCCCAGAAGTCCATGGATTTAAGACCGTTGTGAAGGCTCTCAACCGGTAGCTTGTGGGGAGGCTTGTACTCAACTGTGGTAAGAAGTGTGCTAGTACCGTCGTCAATGCGGTGTATGCAATACTGATCAGGCCCGGAAGACTCGGATCTTGATGGTTGGTTTGTCTGTAAATCAAGGCTATTGGCATGGCTGTTGAACTGGACTCCATCACCCAAATGGAATTCATCTCGAGCGGTAGGTATCTTGCAAAGCTCTGCAATTATGTTCTGTACATAATTTTCAACAGCAGATCGCTCATAGCCCTCAAGGTCCCGTTCGCTGCTTATCGGTCTCTCTTTGACATTTTGTCCCTCATACTCCAGCGCAACGAGGGGTGGGAAAGCCCGACGTGCTGTATCCCCAGTCGATCCAAGATGGTTGCAAACAGAGTGATAAATGTCCTCCTGCTGGGTTTGACATTCCGTCCATGGGCGCAGTTTTACTGGGCACTTTTTCCCGATTGGTGCTGAGATTTTCCCTGAAGTGCAGCGAGATTGGTTTGCGACTCTCAATGATCTAGCGACGATATTGTGACCATATCGAATGAGCTCGTTAAAGGTTGTTGGTCGATTTTGTTCCTCTGCCTGTCTCCTTAGTTCTGCTTCATGCGTTCGTTCCTCCTCTGCTTGTTTCCGTAGCTCCTCTTCTTGTCTCCTTAGTTCTGCTTCATGCGTTCGTTCCTCCTCTGCTTGCGTTCGTTCCTCCTCTGCTTGTTTCCGTAGCTCCTCTTCTTGTCTCCTTAGTTCTGCTTCATGCGTTCGTTCCTCCTCTGCTTGTTTCCGTTGCCTTTCCGCCTCCAGAAAGAGTTTCTTATAATCTGGAATATCGTTGCTGGCCATGGAATCTGCAAGACGCGTGTGAAGGAGTGTTGATGTCAAACCAGTTTGGCAGGCGTACCGACAATTTTCAGCTCGTATTGAACAACGTTCGATAGCACAAGCAGATGTTAGTGATTAGATGATAGCCCGAAATTGCAAGATAATGGAGGGTAGTAGAGGTGTACTGAGGTCATTCAATATGTGCAATAATGAAAGGAGATCGCTAGGTGCCTTTCCCATGGTTATGTCTGTTTTGGTGTTCGGGACGGATATTAGTAAATCCTATTCCGAGCCAATTTCTTTGGCAGCTTCGAAGATAGCTTGCCTTCCAACAAAGGTTTGGACTCAGGCTTGGTAATTAGGCAATCTATCTACACTTTACCCAATTATAATTTGTATTCAATGCAGTGCAGGTGGGGTCTTAGGCGTGGATAATCCTTTCTTGGTGTAGGGAAATCGGCCTAAAGGGAACAGTCTATTAACCGGGTCAGTCAGCTGACGCCAAGACCGACGTTAATTAGTGATAAGGAATAATGTCGGACCGATTGGGCAAGTTCCGCCGGTCCGATGATATAGGCCAGCGTGAGCGCACGTTTAGATAGACAAGCACTCAAGCACTCAACCAGCTGCGTGTGGGTATATGCGTTAATAGGCAATACACTTCTCTCATTAAGACTGGATCTCTCCGTATACGACCTCGCTAGTCGCGGATAATCGACTCCTCCGGACCTCCGGCCCCGATCCCCATTTCAGGGACCCCGCAGCACGTGATCTTGACACGTGACCGAACTTCCGACGTAAAATAGTGATGAAGATCGGATGAAGATCGGACCGATCTAGTGAGCTCCGGAGAAGTTTTATCGTGCGGCGATGGAACGCTCTTAGTTAGTTCTATTAAGCACTCTACAGCAGATTCAATACTACATACATTCCCTACTGCGCGATACTGTCTCTACGGCTCACGGCTGTCATATGGGTTTCGTACGGTAATACGGAGAATCGGCACCGCTGCCCCGAAGCTTCCCCGTTTCAAATAGCAACTAAACTAAACTAAACTCTGCACAATCCAATCCCCAGAAGGTGCAGTAGAGATTAATCCTCCCCCACTCAATGAGGCCACACGTTGGCTGGGAATCTGGTTTGACCGGAAACTGAAGTTCAGGATCCACACACAAACACTGGCGACCAAGGCCAAACTGGCAGGCAATGGCATCCAAGCCCTGGCCAACACAGTACGAGGAGTTAAAGCTCCCCTACTGCGGCAAGCAACAATAGCCTGTGTTGTCTCAGTCTTATGTTATGGGGCTGAGGCGTGGTGGCCAGGGAGGAGAAGACTAAGGCAGGAGCTTACCATCCGCTCCCTTTTATATCTGAGCTTGATGTGATTCAGACTGTTGATTGGCCTAGGCCGTTCTTCGTAGGCATCCTTAGGGACTAGAGGCTGCGACAAGGTTCTCTAACACCCCACACCGTGTGTGATAGACTAGGCCATTAGGAATGCTCACTACCTTTTTTGGGGGCCCCTAGATTAGAGTGTCACTGTGACGGTTCAACGCTTCAACGCCGCCTCAGTGGCTGATATCGACAAACGCCACCATGCAAGCATACAAAGAAAGCGATTAGCGCGGCTACAGGAGTCATGGATAAAAACCCCTTTTCCTGTAGACAGATTCCCTTTCTTCTTTTCTCTCCAGATTCGATATTCTCGTCGATGGCTACAATAGTCTAGATAGGAATTCAGTTCGTTAGTATCTACTAGTTATTCCGAGCCCGTGACAAAGAGCCTCAGCCGTACTCAGCCTCGCCGATCAGCCATGTGCTACGACTACCTACATATATAGTAATACTACTCTGTACTCTGTACAGAGTAGGCAACGGGGCCAAGGAAGATCTTAACTTGAATGGAAAAAAGGAGTCTTGACTGTTTTCTATTTTTACTCCACTGAATTATCTGGCCTCTAATACACTAAAATAAAGCGGTTTTTGCACTAATTAAACGCCTACCGAGCAAAGCCCTACGAGCACCTTGCTTTTCTTGTTTTAGTACTTTCAGCTCTTTAGCTGGTCCGCCGACCTATTCCCTGTTCCTCAAATAGGCGCTCCGGTAATTTTAACGTCTTGGAACGGAAGATTGAGTGTATCAAATCCAGGCTCCTTCTCAATATTCACTGTGCCTATTATTCGCGAAAGAGCTTTACCATTGCCTTTGAATTGTTAGTTATTCTGTCAAAGACGAGATAATTGGAAAAGATTCTCTTTGTCAAAGATGAGTTCCCAGAATCATCTCCGGCCCCAGGACCCATGGTGTGACGGTCTCGTTCAATAGGAATCTATTGGTAGACTATCTGACGAAATACTAACATGAGGAAGGAAAGGAAAGAAGCTGGGTCAGCCAGCGCTGAGCTATCTAGTGTGTGCGAAGGGGTTCCTGCCCTATATTCAAACAAGTCAAAGTGGTCAAACACGCCATACTGCTAGCGAGCGCCTGCGCTCCGTAACACATGGTAATGTTCCCTGGCACGATCCCTTTCCTTTCTGGGTTCAGCAGCACAGATATATATATATGTACATTTTTAAAGGTTGTCAACGAACCAACGCTATAAGTGATGGCCAGCGCCTATACAAGGTTCAATTAAGCCGGGCTAAGCCAAGTCTGTGCTCATTTCAAGTTGTTGATATCCCTTTGAATTGTGGAGCTTCCTCTGAGTTGATGGCAGCAGGTCGATAATCAAAGAGAGAATATAACCAGTGAAGACAAAGGCAATGACTATTATCAAGCAGATTAGTACAAAGTCGAAAGGTCAAGAAAATAGGTACATACCCCATTCAAGAGTAGCAGCCATGTTGTTCTTGTTGTAGTGAGTGTGCTCTGTGATTTGAAAAGCAATAATGAGAGCAAGTTCAATGACAATGAAAGACATTTTAATCACAAAACTTGTTATGAGCATGGACTCTTGCAGAGCATGTGTGATGCCTAGATAGATATAATCTAAGCACATCAAGGCTGCACTGACTAGATACCCCACACTGAAGCTGTCAGCAATGCATACATATATCAAAATATCAGCAAGAGCTTACATGAATATTGTCACACAGGTATCATGCATGAAATGGTGGGCAATATTGTCAAAGACTGATAACAAAATCAAGCCTATACTTCCAATTACTGTGAAAAGGAATGAACCATGTGCGCACAAACTGTTGATATATCCCTTGTTTTGGACATATTGATAGAAAGAGAGATTCAAAAGGAGTACTGTTGTGATACATCCAATTATAAACAATGGCTTCAATTCCTGGGCTCCAATATCGGAAATGAACCTGTTTTACTCTTAGTTCAAATCACTTGGCAGCAGTGGTGGTTTCGTTGAAGGGGAAATGCTCACGGTATATTCTGTCCTGGTTTCATCAGGCCATATTTTGGTTCGCCGATCATAGTCCAGTGGCCTAACATAGCGAGAAGCATCGCTAAATCCCGGGTTAAATCATTGCTGACAGCGACCGTGGACGATTGAAAAGCTCACCTAGCCAGGTGGACGCCGCTACAGTCGGAAATCCCCAGGAAAGGGGCGACATTATGGTGTGGTTGTATAGTCAAGGAGTGTTTTTTTTTTTTTTTGGTACAATAATCATAGTCTTGTTATAAACGAAGGCGAAGAGACGGTGGGCTGGTGAAGTTGGATACCAGCCACATCTCTTCCAAGCGGTTGACAAGGAGAAATGATCCTTACATTGGGAATCAGGTGACAAGAAATTGTGCTCGTCGATCCTTACTCTACGGCCTCTAGCCGATATTCCTGCTTAGTCGATATATACTGTATCAGAAACTGTGAGGACCGCCCACAGTTCGGTGCCTTAGGCCGCCAAGGGCGGGCTGGCATTCTCCTATACACGTAATTAGTTCTCCGCACGACTATAACTAGGTAACCTGATCAATGGCCTTTGTCTTCGAAGCCAGCGATCAGTTCCTATATTTAGATTGTACTACCTTTGCAATATATCCTCCTCCTCCTTCCTCCTCCATAAACCCTCACACCCGAACCGTACACTCAATCTAATATACCCAAAGCTCGCACGTACTCTTCAGCACGCCACTTGATCCCAACGAGTACGGCTCTTACAGAAACACACACTGTTTCTTCAATTGGTCAGAACTTGGGTCTTTTGTTGACCGCAGACCTCGTGTGGGAAACAATCCTTTCAATCTTGAAGTTATAAGCGGAAGTGTGATTTCGACAAATCTGAGCTTTGAAGTAACAGTCTATGCGACCAGGCCGGCATAAGTCCAAGTTGCAAGCTGCTCGGGTGAGGGAACACACGTCCCAGTGAGGCAGGAGTGAGCTTCTCATAAAAATTTATCCATTATTTTAACCTATTTTATTCCATGTTTGCGTACACAGAACCACTGTGCGGGGCAAGGCGACGAAGCTGCCCTGATCCAAGGTGCGGCCTATGGAGTCGAGCCAGACTGGTTTCTGGAGACATCGTGTCGCGGTGACTAACTCCAGGTATCACAGTCAACAATGACCCAAACATGCATGTTCAAGGGAATATAGACTTACACACGGAGATTGTATCACATCGGACGGTTTCCCGGGCAAAACTCTCCAGCCGCGGCATCTAATCTAGAATGTCGACAGACCACTCGCCTCCCGTGGCGTCCAGCGCAGAGTGGATCTCATCGCGCAGCACATCTGTATATTCGGGGCCGGCGACGGCATAGTTCATCATTCCAATGGTATAGGCGGTGATTGGAAAGGCGATCTCCAGCGCACTCAATAGACAATCCCCGGCAAGAGTATGGACCCTCTTTTCTTCGACGAGCGCCAGATACCAGTATATGCGGTGGAGTTTAAAGCCCCTCATAAGCTTACGGTCGCGGAGCTAGTCGCAGGCTTGCATGAGATGGACCTGGCCCGCGATGTTATTGATCAGGAAGGAGACACGCCTGAGTTTCATACCACCCGCCTTGTTGCCGCCGTTGTCACTCAGATATTCTCATACATGCATGACTTGGGGATACAGAACGGGTGTATTCGGACAGGGGAGGCATTTGTCTTTCTACATATTCCGGAGGATCCCACAATAGTTCAATACTACTTGTGTTTCCCAAATCAAGACGTGCAGGCAGGCGATGAGAGCCGTCTCCACCGGACTGCCGTGGGCCAGATGCTTGCGTTCACACTCCAAGCGCTGGCCGCTGAAGCTCCGTCCCAAGAGTGGCACAATACCGCACATCAACAGCTCTCAACCTGGAAAGTCGAATACTTGGACATCTTGCGCGATATTCCCGAAGCGATTCGCAAGGAGCCGCCGCCCTCAAATTATCGGCCTTCACACTGGAAACGGAATCCAAAGACACACAATACACGTTCCCACGCTCGCTGTAATCCAGGTGTATCTACCCCGGCAGGCTCGCCAAGTGAAAGCAGTGATAGTGATGAGGATATGCCTTCGCTGTCCACCGCACCAGCCGCGCGCAGTTGATTGAGTCGCAGGAAAGGTAAACATTTATTGACTAGCGGACGTGAACGGGCACAACCCTACTGAAGAACAAAGCAAACTCCTTCTCAAAAGGTGCAGAGACCGTACTGCACCATGGCTTGTATCCATGGTATAGTCAACAGGGGTCCTCTGGATAAAAAGTGCCCTAACTGGCAACGTCACAGCGGCCAGAGGCATCCAATGGGCCCGCGGGAGTTCACATGCAAGCTGCACCATCAACTTGTCCAGAATCAAAATAAGGGTTTTGAGCCGCTACACATCCGTGGTCGGACGGGGTATCTCATGAAAGCGACTCTATTGTCTCATGGGTATACCGTAGTCATCAAGGCTACAACGAAGGAGAATCAGCACGCCCTTAAAACAGAAGTCAACAATTATCACAAGCTCTGAAGTCCCTCCAGAAGTATGGTGTTGAACACAAAGACAAAGAGTGGCGTAATATGCTGTGGGATGAACAGACCCGCAGTTTGGTTGTCGTTGACTTGGAGGACATGGAATGGCTTAAGCGGCCTCGGCCTTTCCAATCAACATCTGGCAATTCATTGGGTCGTCGTATCGTCCGAAGGCGCCTATCTAGTCGAGCTGCTGTCTGTACATCATGATGGCACTGGAAACGGCCGCCGCTTATCACTGTCCCGGTCTTATTTCCTGCGCGCCTTGTTGACTTCGGATTGTTGTGTCTTCCGTTCTGGGGAAAACCACCGTTCGGAGGAAGATGATGGTTTGGCTTTCGTATTTCCCTACCGAGTGGCGCGCCCGACCGAGCGGCGCACTTCCGACCATGGTCGAAATGTAGGAGTCTTTTTAACATCAACAAAATGCATTTCTATGTAATAACTAATTACTATTGCGATTAGGACATTGATTCCTTTTATGTCCTATAATATTGCAATCACTGCAACGTGGTGGCGCCCGTACAGAGCGGTATTCTATCATGGGTGCCGGTTCTGTAGACATAGTAGGTATGACTTCTTCCTCCTGGCCCCTGCTGAATAGAAAGGCCTTCTTCGGTAGCTATTCAATAGTTCGGTGGGTGCCTCCCGGGTGAGTTAAAGGGTGATGCCACTTTTTGGTCGCGCGACCGGGGATGAGCTTGGGTGAGTGCGCTGTAGAGAGGGTGAGCCATCATCCAGCGTCCCGTCACTGCAATCCTCTGAAATCCTTATGATCCACCAGCCAGTATACCGACACTGTTCATTGGCTGCTCTGCTTCTACTCCAAAAACTGAGTCACTTGGCGCCTGCACATAGCTTCAATCTGCTTTTACTCCCTACTGCTTGAGTGCTGTCTATGTATATAAATGTGCATAAACGCTGGTCTATAATATCGGACCGGCGGAGCTTGCCTAATCGGTCCGACGTTATTCCTTATCAGTGTACCATGCGGGCGCTAACTACGGCCCGATGACCGCCATCCGAGATCTGAATCCTAATTTCAGTTGTCCAAGGGGAGTGTAGGGGACAGATAAATTGGAATTGGTCAGATATCACGAGTCTACGAAAGGAAGGGTTCTATGGCATAAAGGATATTTTATTGGTATCTTTATCCGACAAAGACTTTGCTTAGAGCCGTATGCTGAAGTCAAATAACCCTAAGAGAGAGAGATAACCTTTCTATACTGTTCTTGCATGTCATCATGCCAAAAGGCTGATGTAATTGTAGGGTTTTGATTAGAACAACCAGTCTATCTGCCGAGGCCTTGGCCACCTTCAAAAGATCCTATTGACACTTCCCGAATCTAGAGCAACCAGGTCGATTTCTCCAAGCCAATATGACTGTCAATACCGATCCAGAGAGCATCGTCAATGAACCTGGCCGCGGCTTCTTGGGCCATCTTGCGTCTTTTATTCAACGCTATCCATACCGGGGGAGGCAGCAGTTCCTCGTCGATTTTGAGGCGGAACGGCACCGCCATCGAACCGATACCAGCGGGCATGTCAGTGAATGGTTTCTCCTGACTGGAGTTGATAACCACATCTTTAAAAGCGAATTTATCGATCCCGTCAACCAGAAAACCCCATGGACATCCTGGAACTCGTACGACGCTCATCTCCAGTTGTTGCTCGTCAAAATGACCAAGTCACCTGCTCACGAAACCGCCTCCATGACCTTCCACAATATATTTCTGGAAGCTGTGGAGCCCACCGGGCTAAAGCGCTCCCTCAAGGAGATTGGTAGCGCCACACACTTCGCTTCCCTGGGTGCCAAAGAGCCTGATCAAGCCTGGCGGCCACATCGACTTCCCTCCAACCGCTCGCGAGACTGGCCCAGCGTCGTGATGGAGATCGCCTATTCTGAAACCGAGTCGAAGCTGGGATCTGGCGTGCGGTTCTGGATGCGAGCGTCGGGGGGCGACGTCAAGGTCGTACTTACCTTGCGCATCAATCGCCAGCAACCTAAAATCAGGATTGAAAAGTGGGTGAGCAACAACAGCAACAACAATCGCCATCATCTTGACCAGAGCGTCACCATCTCAAAAGCAGACAATAACCGTATCATAATATCCAATGCGCCGCTTACCATTGATTTTGAGGAACTGTTTCTGCGACCAGCTAGCATGCCAAGAGAGAGGAACATCGAGGTGGACGCAGAGAAGCTACAGTACTTGGCAACGGAGATATGGGATGAGCAGGGATTCTTAAAGAGAGAGCAAATCAATAAATATCTTCCATCTTGAAGCGGGTAGCTAGGGGAATTTGGGAGTCGATTATCCACGACTAACGAGGTCTATATGGAGAGGTCTAGTTTGACGAAAGAGGAAGGTGTGTTTTGCCTATCGAACTTGTATGTACACACACAGCTGACTGAGTGTTTCTCTAGCTAAATGTGCGGACACGCTGGCCTATCCGACTAATTATCCGGTCGATTCTGATCACTTACCAATCATAACAAATCACGTCCTCTCATGCTAGGAAAGAAGCTCTCTCTTCCAACAAATATCAAAAGCTAGCCATCATCTATAATTTATGGTCATGGTAGGGCCCTTCGCGGATTGCTGAACGTGCCTACCCCTGGTGACTGGACGCTTCTGTCTAAAAACATCACGGTCGTATCTGAGCATACCGCCAGTTTTAGGCAACAATCCTTTCCAGGTCTCATTTTCTACAAAAATACTAGATTGATCATGCTTCTCAGCGGGTGTTGAGCATTCACAATGCAAGAAACAGTGGTTTGGTGCCTAAACTAATGGAGCCCTTGCTTCGTGGGCTTACTATACAGATCTTAGAGAAGAGAAAGACCTATTTACACGAAGAGATTTTATAGGGGTTGTGTAACATCACTAAGCAGCCGTTTGCCTTGATTGCTTGCATGGCATCGTTTGCTGATAAAGGTGCTGAGGCGCTGAGGCGTCACACAGCTGTGGGATCACGTTTCTGGCCTTTGCCCACAGAGCCCGGACAGAGGCCATTACAGCACAGAAGCAGAGATGGCTTGCCAGGGAGCTCAGCCAGTAATCCTGACAGGGTTGACCAACCTACAGGCCAGAGGAATTGGCAGCTTGACCCCTCAGCTGCAGTGGCTCCCAAACACTTGGCAAGCTGCTATTTTCAACTGAAGAAAGCACACAGCTGTGACGGCTCAACGCCGCATCAACAGCTCAACGCTGCGTCAACAACTGACACAGACAAACGACATAAATACGCCAGACAAGACATTGGCGATGTCAAAAAAACGCCTATAAAACCCCTTCTTCCTCTAGATAGATTGCCTCTTCTCTTTTTCCCCCATATTCGATATTCTCATCGATAGCTGCAATAGTATAGATAGGAATTCAAATTCGTTAGTATCTACTATTCCGAGCCCGTGACACCTACAGCACATGACCCCTTCCCCAGACAGTGCAATGATGACTATCAACCCCCAGCCATGCTCGTTGACAGCGAAGAAGAATACCAAGTGGAATGCATACTAGACTACCACCAGATCCGCCGCGGACAAGGATTCCAATGACAGTACCTAGTAAAATGGACTTGGTTACTAACACCCTGAATGGACTGCAGTGCACAACATGGAAAATACCACTGCACTTGATGAATGGGAACAGCATCATGAAAACCAGAACCATATGAGAGAGGAGCAAGATTCTTAGGAGGGGGGTATTGTCACAGGCTGCGCCTGTCGCATAAGCAGTATATTTAGTCGGGCGGAGAGGTTACCAGACGGAGAGATTATTGGAGGGACTATCGGTCCCACACTGCGCGCACATGTATTTAGAGCCGCCTGACTGGGCATTCGTGCTTTTCTTCAACGAAATCTTTTGTGCCAAAGCTAGTCATTAGCATTCCGGGCCCAGCCCTTAACACATCAATCGCAATGGTATTCAGCTATTCCAAAGGAATATAGGATTAGCATGAGTGATAATGGCTGGACAAATGATGAATTAGGATTTGGATGGCTCCAGGAGATGTTTGAGAAGTATACTGCCTCCCAAACTATTGGCAGATATCGCCTTTTGATCATTTTTGCACTGAGAGGAATATTATCCCTTTATATATGCCTCCAAATTCATCTCATCTACTTCAGCCTCTTGATATAAGCTGTTTTGCGCCACTGAAGCACTGTCACGGGCTCGGAAACTAGCAGATAAAACGAATAATATTCATATCTAGACTAGGTAGCCTAACGACGAGAATATCGAATCTGGAGAAGAAGAAGAAAAGGAAATCTATCTAGGCGATGAACGGTCTTTATAAGCATTTGTGTGGTGCGGCTTAAGCCCTTGTTTGCCCATATTGCTTGTATGGCATCGTTTGATATGTTGGCGCTGTTTGTCTGGCGTTGAGCCGTTACAAGCACTACTATGGGCAGAAAATCAGGGAGATGGCGCAAAATGACATTCATTCAGTTAACAAACACGAATTCCTATCTATCTACACCAAAATCCATACTCGTTCATTCTCAAAGGCCAATATATTGGGTGGATTTGCAGCTGCTGGTCTTATTCCTTTTAAACCAGAGAGAGTGCTCGCAAAACTCCATATCAAGCTGAAGACACCAACTCCACCTTCTTCTCCATCCAGCAATCAATCCTTTTATTTAGGAAGAACACCAGCCAATCTTTATCAGTTGAGTCAACAGAAAAAGAAGATTCAAGACCTTCAACAACAGTCTCTATCCTCAGTTGTTGCAGAGCAGATGCTTGAGAAAGTCATAAAGGGAGCAGAGATGGCAATGCAGAATTCTATCCTTTTACAACAAGAAATCAATCGGCTTCACACATCAAATAAGCATCAGAAAGAGAAGAATAAGATGACACGAGCCTTTATTCAAGATAAAGGGAGTTTAACAGGTGAAGAGGGGCTGCAAAGATTGAGAGAAAGAGAGGCCATACAAGAGCCATCATCATCATCATCAAGATCCCGACGACCAGCACAGTGCAGTAATTGCAATAAAGAAGGCCATTATAGATTGAAATGCCCTGTTCCCTGTTAGAGAGCAATAGATTTAATGGATTTAATGGGTTTGGTTTGCTTTAATAGGGAGAGGATCAATAGATATAGAGGTGGCTCGCCGCCGCCGCCGACCGCGCCATTCGGTGGTGAATTACATTATGTTAACTAACTAACTAGTTAACGTGATCGGTAAGCGAGTGGTCCATGTAAGCGAGTGGTCCACCTAACGCGAAAACGCGTCTAGAAATTATATCTAATTCTTTAACCACCCACTATGCCACCAATTCGCACCCGAGGCTTTAGAAATTCAATAGAGCAAGAGGGTAGGATCTTATTAGCTATCCAGGCTATTAAGAAGCAAGAAATTAGCACTATTCGTGAAGCAGTGCGCCATTTTGAAGTCCCAAAGTCTACTCTCCTCCGCTGTCTTAACAGTACTCCTAATCAAGCTGAAACCCGCGCCAACAACTATAAATTAACAGAAATTGAAGAGGAATCGCTTCAAAGATGGATTATCTCACTTGATGATCACGGAGCAGCACCACGACCTACTACTGTACAAGAAACTGCAAATCTTCTTCTCGCAGCGCGGGGAACTACCCCGGTTCAAACAGTCGGCGAAAAATGGGTTTATAACTTTGTGAAAAGGCATCCTGAGCTTTCAACCCGATTCTCAAGGCGCTATAATTACAAGCGCGTGAAGTGTGAGGACCCAAAGATTATCATGGAGTGGTTTAATTGCGTGCAACATACAATATTTCAATATGGTATCAACCTGGATGATATCTACAACTTCAATGAGACTGGATTCACAATGGGTTTAACAGCTACTGCAAAAGTCATTACAAGGGCTGAATACTACAGTCGGCGCTCACTTTTACAACCTGGAAATCATGAGTGGGTAACTGCTATTGAGTGTACGAATGCCTCAGGATGGGCCTTGCCTCCATGTGTGATTTTTAAAGGCAAGATCTTTATTGAGGCTTGGTTCGATAACATTCCAAGCAATTGGCGGTTTGAACTAAGCCCAAATGGCTGGACTTCTGATGAAATCGGGCTTCGCTGGCTAGAAAAGCTCTTTATTCCTTCAATGACTAGTCGTACGAAGGGAAGGTATTGACTTTTGATCCTTGATGGCCATGGTAGTCATTTAACACCGAGATTTGATGAAATCTGCCAAAAAAACGATATTATACCAATTTGTATGCCCGCGCATTCGTCACATCTTTTACAACCGCTCGATATCGGCTGTTTCGCGGTGTTAAAGCGAGCATATGGTCAGATAGTTGAAATGAAAATGCGTCTTGGGATCAATCATATTGACAAGTTAGACTTCCTTGAAGCCTACCCGCACGCACGAATCGAAGCTTATAAATCCAGTACTATCAAAAATAGCTTCGCAGCTGCTGGATTAGTGCCGTACAACCCTGATCATGTGATTTCAAAGCTTGATATTCGCCTTCATACGCCAACCCCCCCGGCAAGCCAGGGTAGCGAATCAAGCCGCAATTTCACACCAAAAACCCCTTTTACAGAGAAACAACTACGTCGGCAAGCTTCTTCAGTGAAAGCCTTACTTCATACAAGATCACGAAGTCCACCGAGCCCTTCGGATCGCGCGTTAAATCAACTTGTTAAAGGCTGCCAGCTTGCAATGCATTACAGTATTTTATTAGCAAAGGAAAACAATGAATTACGCGCTGCAAATGAGAAGAAGAAGCAAAAACGGACTCGATCTAAAAGGCAGATACCTCAAAAAGAAGGCCTTTCAGTTTCAGAGGCTCGCGAGCTAATAGAGGCCCCGATTGAGGCCCTGATAGCTCCAGGGACCCCCCAGGAAGGCCGTATTTCCCTACCTTTACAGCCACGTACGCGGCCCCCGCGGGGATGCGGAATATGTAGGGTCCCAGGACATAGAAGAGAGACATGTCCAGATAGACCTCATTAGGTAGTTTTATTAATTTAATGGCGTTTTGGTTGATATAAATGCATTTAGATACTATATATGGGGGGTGGGTGGACCACTCGCTTACATGGACCACTCGCTTACCGATTACGTTAACTAGTAATAGTTATAGTTACCTTCTTCTAGTATGTGTATGCCTATTTTTATCTTATAAATAAGTCTCTATATCTATTGGTGGCTGAGATATTAAGGCTATAAAATGTGACATTTTGTATGGAAAACAGAGGTGCGCCGCTCGGTAGTGGATTACATTAGTTAGTTAACGTAATCCACAAGCGAGTGGCCACCACAAGCGAGTGGCCACCCTACTGCGTTTCGCGTCATTTTCGTGCACTCTTCTTCCTTTAATCACCCACCATGCCACCAATTCGCTCTCAAAGCTCTAGAAATTCAATAGAGCAAGGGGGTAGGATCTTATTAGCTATCCAGGCTATCAATAAGCAAGAAATTACCTCAATTCAAGAAGCAGCAAACCAATTCAATGTGCCTCGTACAACTCTCCGGCGCCGGCTCGCTGGATGTACAAATCGACATGAATCTCGCGCCAATAACCATAAATTGACACAAATAGAAGAGGAATCGCTTCTAAAATGGATACTCTCAATGGATTCTCATGGAGTAGCCCCTCGGCCCGCTACTGTACAAGAAATGGCCAATCTTCTACTTAACTCGCGTGGAACTACCCCGGTTCAAACAGTTGGTGAGAATTGGGTCTTAAACTATGTGAAAAGGCATCCAGAGCTTTCAACCCGATTCTCAAGGCGCTATAATTATGAGCGTGCAAAATGCAAAGACCCAAAAATCATCCATGAGTGGTTTGATTGTGTGCAACGTATGATACTTCAATATGGCATTGACCCTGATGATATCTACAACTTTGATGAGACTGGCTTTGCAATGGGTCTAACAGCAACTGCAAAGGTTGTTACCAGGGCTGAATACTATGGTCAGCGTTCACTTTTACAACCTGGAAATCGTGAATGGGCTACCGCAATTGAGACAATAAGTGCATCAGGATGGGCCTTGCCTCCATATATTATTCTCAAAGGCAAGGTCTTTATTGAGTCTTGGTTTGATAACCTCCCGGATGATTGGCGCATCGAAGTCAGCCCAAATGGATGGACATCTGATGAAATTGGGATTCGGTGGCTTGAAAAGCTCTTTATTCCATCAACAATTGCTCGTACAAAGGGGAAATATCGACTTTTAATCCTTGATGGCCATGGAAGTCATTTAACACCAAAATTCGATGAAATCTGCAGTCAAAATGCTATCATCCCAATTTGTATGCCAGCACATTCATCACATCTTTTACAGCCACTTGATATCGGTTGTTTTGCAGTGTTAAAGCGATCATATGGCCAGATGGTTGAATTGAAAATGCGGCTCAATATAAATCATATTGACAAATTAGACTTTCTTGACGCCTACCCACACGCATGAATCGAAGTATTCAAACCTGAGACTATCAAGAATAGCTTTGCAGCAGCTGGTTTAGTGCTGTACAACCCTGATTGAGTGATTTCAAAGCTTGATATTCGGCTTCGTACGCCAACACCCCCCGGAAGCCAGGGAAGTGATTGGGAGCCTAAAACGCCGTCGAATTTCGTCCAATTACAAAAGCAATCATCCTCGATCAAAGCTTTATTAAGGCAGCGTTCAAAGAGCCCACCGAGTCCACTTAATTCTGCGATAAATCAGGTTCTTAAAGCTTGTCAAATCACAATGCAATCAACTGCTTTTCTTGAGAAAGAAATAGGTGAATTATGCGCTGCAAATGAGAAGCAGAAGCAAAAGCGTACTCGATCTAAAAGGCAAATACCTCATGAAGGTGGTCTCTCAGCTCCAGAGGCTCACGAGCTATTTGTGCAGCCAGAAGCAGCAATTGAAGCACCAGCACCCCCCCGGCTGAGAAGGCCTTCACCACCTTTACAGCCGCGTATGAGAGCTTTACCAAAGTGCGGGGCCTGTGGAAATGAAGGACATAAGAGAAATGCATGCCCAGTTAGACTTAATTAGGTAGTTTTCTTAATTTAATGGCGTTTTGGTTGGAATAAATGCATTTGAATACTATAGATGGGGCGGAAGGTGGCCACTCGCTTGTGGTGGCCACTCGCTTGTGGATTACGTTAGTTAACTAGTTAGTTAACTAGTTATTCATTGGTGCCCAATTATTCAGGCATACATAAATCATCGCCTGCGATACCCCATTCGGCTATCCCCGCAATTGACAGCTTGAAGCGGATGTCAGGCACGTGAGCCAATTTGGCTTTTCGTGTGAATTGCCTATTTTGGACACCCCTGCCTGCTGTCACATCTATCATAGCCAGACTTGGTACCCAAAGACAGACTTCTACATCCATAAATCCAGGCAATATTGACGAGAAACTTAACTTTAACTCAATGGACAAAAGTACACTGTCGGAAGTCCACCGAGCGAGTCCAGCCCCTGCAGGAACCATACTTTCATAGTCGCAGGAATGTACTCCGTACGGATACTATGCATGACTGAAGATTAATTGTCCTCGCCAATCTCCTGCCAAATTTGCCAATGCAAACGTGCGCTAATAGATTACGTTGCCTCTTGGGGTCACCGCGGATCCATGGAGTCGAGTCTATGGAGTTGGGGACCACTGGTGCTGCTCTCCCCGTGGGGAGCTGAGGGCAGCCTATGTACTTCTCCATAATTGATTGACACGCCAGTATGACTTGTAGAGAGGATGTGCCAAAAATCATTGGGTTTGACATCGATGAAGGATAGCCACTTAACAGGACCAAGAACAAAGTGTTTCATATGCTGCGTGTGTCACTCTTTGTTATCCCTTATTATTGCATAGTTCCCCTCGGAGCATGAGCCATCCTTTCCTCCAGATTCAAGGTTTGCACTATCCGCGGTTGCACTAGTTAGCGACTGACAAAGGTGATCGGCATGCAGATTTTATTGCCGCAGAGTACATAGTAATAGTTTACAGAGTATGTACACTGTAGTAGAGTATCAATAGCTCTGCGATACAGATATATTAATGTTCTATTTTATGCTGTGGTGAGTAGCTAAGTATAGCGAATCAGCCACCCACCGCCACACACATCGCCGCCAACCCGGGTTATCGGAATCTTGGCATGTTACGCTAGCCTAATGAAGTTAAATTAAATTATAGACCAACCAATAAAAAACAGGACTTAGACGTACCCCAGTCACGCCAAGGCCAGCGCTCGCCCGAGAAAGAAAAAACACTAGTCCGCCCTAGGACTAGTGCTTCCCCATGAAGAAACACGCGGCGAACCCCGGACAAGACAGGCAGAATTAATCACCTGCGTTAATTTTCGACCTCCTCTTTTCATCTTCTTATATACCTTTGGGTCACCACTTTCCCCTCCTTTGTCTTTCACCTACTTCTTTTTTCTCCGTCTTTTTATTTGTTGCTTTGAGGGGAGGGTGATAGGACTGTCAAGTACAGTCGCATACCCTGAAGAGAGGAGGGTTTCGGTATTCGCCCCTTTCCTCATCGCCTATTTGCCGAGTTCAGAGCCGCCCTCGACCATTCCGTCACCGCCGCAACCACTCCGTCACCACTTTTCCACGACTACTATCGATATTGAACTCGCATCTTTCCTCTCCGCGCATATTCTTGTGAATTCCTGTACTGTGACCGCTTCAAGCTGGTCGACAGACGGCAGCAATACCGGCACTTACCGCTGTCGCATTCAACCATGAGATTGGGTACATCGGCCTCCATCGCGCAGTATACTCGTCTTCGTCAATCATGCTCCAGTTCAGTGGTGGTTCATTCGAGTCCGTGAAATTGTAAATTATGGCGTGGATATTCGACCGGGATAGAGCTTGGTTTGATTATACTCCGTTTTGTACAGACACTACTTCGTCCTTTTTCTTGACCTAAAAGCCTCTCGTCCACCATGGCCATAGGCAATTCGCTTTCCTACCCTCCGGAGGGTCTCCTCCATGGATACCAGGGGGATAATGTGGCCATCAAGGCTTGTATGATCGTGTTCAGTGCCATTGCCTGGTACAACGCAGTCGAACTCATCATTCTCATCTTTCTCACCTTCAATCGCTACAGCGGTCTCTATTTCTGGGCAATGTTTTTGTCTACCACCATCGGTGTTATCTTTCATGCGATCGGTTTCTTGCTTGAATTCTTTACCATCGGTCCCATTGGATTAGCGATAACGCTCGCCACCATTGGGTGGTACTTTATGGTCCCAGGCCAATCCTTTGTCCTCTATTCTCGCCTTCATTTGGTCGAACAAAGTCCCGTTGTGTTGCGGCGCGTATTTCACCTCATCGTCTTCAGCGCCGTCGTCATTCTCATTCCGACCACGGTCCTCACCTACTGCACCGTCTACGTCGGCAGCCAAGCATCTATCAGGGGCTACAATGTCATGGAGCGCCTTGAACTCACGTGGTTTTGTGCGCAGGAAATCTTGATTGCCAGTATCTACATTTTCGAAACCATCAACATACTTCGCCTGCGGCCGGAGAAGGAACTTCATCGGAGCAAGTTGATGTACGAGTTGATCACCATCAACCTGGTGATGATCTTTTTGGATATTGCTCTTCTTGTGTTGGAATACGTCGGTTTATATACTCTACAGACAACCTTGAAGGCCGCCGTATACAGTGTCAAACTCAAGTTGGAATTCGGCGTGCTGGGCAAGCTGGTTTCGCTCGTACACACCCACCGTTCTGACCTCACATCCTCCGAATACGACGAGTTCCCGAATTTCGTTGATCCAGCGCAGTTGACCGGTGATATCACCCATGCAGCTCCGATGGAAGATGAGAGGCGACAGTCGCGGCCACCGTGGGGGCGTATGTCTGAGGACAGTATACCCGCTTCAGAACGACGGGGCCGTCCGTCATTTTCGCTCGAGACTTCTCGACCGCCATGATTGCACAGCTTTTGTATATCACCGACCTTTATCTTAAACGAACCGCCTCTGGGCGTGCACATATCTGCATACATATTTGCACAGTGCTACCTGCCACACGAGATCTCGCACTCGACGCAATCATCCCGCCGAGTGCGGAGTACATACATGCCTCTCCAGCCGGGTATCGGCGGAGTACGGTGTACTAGGGCATCCATGACTCTATACTGACGTCAGCGGTGATGACCGAAACATGGCACGACAGGGATACCCTTGTATTGTATCATAGTGAGAAATTATGTGATTTATGCGAGATGTATTAACATGTAAAGCAAATATCCATTTTCGTACCGAGTGTACCTCTCTTACTCTGACTACTCTGATGCTCAGCCAAGCACACATCGTAGAATTTTCCCCCTTCGCACACTGCAGTGTCCATACCGGGCCTAAGTGTAAAACAATTGAAAAAAGAAAATTAAATTAAAAAAAAGATAAAGAGGTCCTGCCCGGGATCGAACCGGGATCGGCGGAATCAGAATCCGCAGTGATGACCATTACACTACAGAACCACGTGATGTCTATTTCCAGACACACTGAGATATATAACTGACCACTACCCTATATAACCAGCAATGGCAGTCACCATACACCGCGGGCCATATAAAACCATCCCCGCGAACACCTCCCCCGGCCTCCAATTCCTCAAATCCTTCCTCCCCGCCCTAGACTGCCTAGATCCAATCAGCCAACCCGTCGCCCCATTCCTCCACCCCGATGCCCCGATCTACGTGGGCAGCAACCCGCCCAGCACCGGCCGCCAGGTAGTCCCGCTCCTCGAAGTACGCAGCAAACACCTCTCCGCCTTCCACCATGACATGGAGGTAGCCTGGGATATCGTCCCGGAGGGGTCTGACGGGCACACACGAACGGTGATGTTCCAAGCAACCAGTGTGACGGTGTTCCGGAAAGATCCGGATCAGTTTGCGGTGCGGATGGAGGAGTTTAATGTTCTGGAGTTGAAGAAGAGATCAAGGGAGTTAGGGCCGGGACAGGAACTAGAGGGGCAGTTGGAGTTGGAGTTTCAGGTCGTGGAGATGCGGACGTATTTTGATGCTCGGCCGGTGCAGGATCGGGCGGCGAACTTGCATCGGGAGTCTGCGTTTGGGGAGGCATAGCCTGTCGATTGATCGGGGTGATCTGGTTATCGATATGAGTATATCGATCGATCAGTGATTGACTTGTATGGAGTGTTGAAGATGCTACTAGTAGCTGACTCAAGTAGGTCCCGTGACATCATTGGTATGGAATGCAACCTCACTTTATTTTGACTTCATCTTGCACTGTATAACACTATCATACTACTCCGTACTCTGTACTACTGTCTGGATATCTCTCTCACTAAGTAGTTCTATATGCACACTCCAATCCCTCCTTCCACGCCCTCATACAACCGCTGATTGGACGGTTCCCACTTCCCCCAATTGCCTGCCCTGTTATGGCTGTCTTCCACTTTCTTCCACTTCCCTCTCAGTATCCTTCTCCCTCCAGCCAAAAGACTCTCGACGAAGAATTCTCTGCAATCGAGCGGTCTTCTCTGTCAGCCACTCATAGTTGACTTTGACGACCCTGACCCGAGTCCGCTTTTTGCCCCGCGTGGTCCCATCCCACTTTGGTGAGTTGCTCTTTTTCCTATGCTACCAGAGAGTAGTACTCGCACCTTGTACTTTTTTCCATTCTTTCTCAGATTTCAATGTAATTTCTACTTGCTCACTGGCTAAGCCATTTTCAGCTCATCCTCAGTCCAGACTCAGCTATCGATCCTCTTCCGAAAAGTCGCGCCCGATCCGAACTGCCGTCGCCCTAAGAACGATCCACATGTTGGCATAGTTTACTTTTCACTTCTATTTCAATTTTTTCTTTTTTTTTTTTTTTTTTTTTTTTTCTCCAACGCTCTCCGTCGAGGCCCGCCGTTCGATACCTCACAAATGACGTCTCCGGAGAAATCTGGCGGCGTCAATCAAAGCTCAAGTCGTCTCGCACCACCCACCCAACCAAGCCTCCAGCGCGAAAACAGCTTCGATGGCACAGATATTGTGTATCCCATTCGCTCCGTCGTCTCTGTTGATCCAACGCCACAGACTCCTGAACCGGTGCCACCCCATCCGGCCTCGCCTACCAAGGACGGCGCTCGTCGGTATTCTATAATCGATGCGCATACCTGGGATCAGATGCAGTCTCAAGCCAGGGCGGATTCTGTGAACGATCCTCCCCATTCGGCCAGTACGGCAAACATTCCCGACCTTGACGAACCCGAATATCGACGGCGCAGCTCCGAGGCGACTGAGGAGAGTCTTCCGGTTGTAAATCCGGATCACCCGCAAAACCAGGAAATGCTCGAAGGAACCAGTCTTGTTACCTCACGATTCGAGCATGTGATTACAGAGCGCGGCCACGCTGTCGCCACAAGACCGGGTGCCCCCTTCCAACCTTGCGAGAATGAACCGATTCATATCCCCGGTGCGGTGCAGGGCTTTGGTGTGTTAGTGGCGCTCCGCGAGGAAGCGGACGACAAGTACCTCGTCCGCGTCGCCAGCGAGAATTCCAAGGCTCTGCTTGGATATTCCCCGAACGAGTTATTCGCCCTGAACAATTTCTGTGACATCCTCAAGGACGACCAAGCTGATGCCCTTCTGGACCACATCGATTTTATTCGCGACGATTCGTTCGACCCCAGTGTGGACGGCCCCGAAGTATTCCTCTTGGCCATCAAGCAGCCCACGCGACGCTCTCGCAAGTTCTGGAGTGCCGTCCATCTTTGCCCAACCGATCCCAGCCTGATCATCTGCGAATTCGAGTTGGAGGATGACCAGGTCAATCCGTTGAATGTCTCAGGTCGCGGGACGCCATCGTCGCCCAGCGCAACTCTAGGGTCGGCACCGACCCCAGAACAGCTCACAGCTAGCACCAGCAGCATCAACCAGCCTTTACGCGTACTGCGAAATGCTCGCCGGCGGAGAGGAGAGGCGGCCGCCATGGAAGTGTTCAGCATCCTAACTCAGATCCAAGATCAACTAGCCCGTACAGAGACGCTTGAGTCTTTGCTGAACACAGCAACCGGGCTAGTGAAGGAGCTGACCGGCTTCCACCGGGTCCTGATTTATCAATTTGATCTGAATTGGAACGGTACAGTCGTGGCCGAACTCGTTGATCCCAAAGCTTCCGTCGATCTCTACAAAGGCCTCCATTTCCCCGCCATGGACATCCCCAGACAAGCTCGTGATCTTTACCGGATCAACAAGGTTCGACTGCTATATGACCGTGATCAGACGACCTCGCGACTCGTGTGCCGTACGGCCAAGGATTTGGAGACACCGCTGGACATGACCCATGCTTATCTGCGTGCGATGTCCCCCATTCACATCAAGTATCTAGGAAATATGGAAATCCGCGCATCCATGTCGATCAGTATTAACGGATTCAACGAGCTTTGGGGACTCATCTCGTGCCATTCGTATGGCAAATCCGGCATGAGAGTCTCGTTCCCTATCCGAAAAATGTGCCGGCTAGTCGGAGATACCGTCTCGCGAAACATCGAGCGCCTCTCCTATTCCACACGACTTCAGGCCCGTAAATTAATCAACACCGCTCCCACCGATGCAAATCCTTCCGGATACATCATCGCCTCGTCGGATGATTTACTCAAGCTGTTTGATGCTGACTACGGCGCTCTGTGTATTCGGGATGAAACGAAAATACTGGGTAAACTCACCCACCCCCAGGAGATCCTGGCCTTGTTGGAGTATCTGAAGATGCGCCGGATCAACTCCGTCCTTGCGTCGCATCATGTCACAAAAGACTTCCCGGACCTGCGCTATCCTCCAGGTTTCAAGCATATCTCGGGTTTACTTTATGTGCCTCTGTCTACAGGCGGAACGGACTTTATGGTCTTCTTCCGTCGTGGCCGCTTGACGGAGATTAAGTGGGCTGGTAACCCATACGACAAGAAAGTCGTGGATGGCCACCTAGAGCCGCGAAAGAGCTTTCAGACCTGGTGCGAGACTATCCTCGACCAATCCCGGGAATGGACTGAGACCGATGTGGAAACGGCAGCGGTCTTGTGTTTGGTGTACGGAAAGTTCATCAAAGTGTGGCGGCAAAAGGAAGCGGCCATGGAGAATTCGCAACTCACACAACTGCTGTTGGCCAACTCGGCCCACGAAGTTCGGACTCCACTGAATGCCATCGTCAACTATCTTGAAATAGCAATGGAAGGCACATTGGACAGTGAGACCCGCGATAGTCTGACCAAGTCTTACTCTGCTTCGAAATCGCTTATCTACGTCATCAACGACCTGCTCGACTTGACTAACACGGAGAAGGGACAAAATCTTATCAAGGATGAATCCTTTGACCTGCCACAGACGATCAAACAGGCTATGGACATGTTCGAGGGTGAAGCTAAACGCAAGGGAATCACTTTCAATGCCCACTCCCACCCCGGACTACCGACTGCAGTTGTGGGAGATCAGCGGCGTATTCGCCAGGTGATTTCAAATCTTATCTCGAATGCCATGCAGCATACTTCGACCGGAAGCGTTACCGTCGAGGTCTGGCGCGCGCCAGTCCAGCCCGACAACGGCGACGTGATCATTGAAATGGTGGTCGTGGACACCGGTTCGGGAATGTCTCGAGATACCCTAGAGGCATTGTTCCAGCAGCTTGAGCAGGTAGGATCTATGGATGACGAAGAAGGCCAAGATCACCTCCCTTCCCTGGGAGGACAAGAAAAACGGGTGCTCGGGCTGGGGCTTGCGCTTGTGGCTCGGATCGTCCGCAACATGCGAGGTCAGCTGGGCGTGCGGTCCAAAGAGGGTAAAGGCAGCCGCTTCAAGATCTCGTTGCAATTCTCCGTTCCAGAGGGTGCGGATTCGACAACCAATGGTAATATTCACCCTTCCAAACAGGTGGCGGAGGCGGCGGCTCCGTTCCAGAATCAGCAAGAGATTATGCTGGTGGGTAGGAACCGGGATCACTCACGCCGCCAAAGCGCCGAGAGCAATCACAGCGGACAGAGCGGTAGCAGCGCTCATAGTAACCGGAGTGAGGCCGATCGCCTGATCAGCGCCATTCAAGAACCGTTTTTAGTCCGGAGTGCCAGCGAGGGTGGTGCTACGAGAACTCAGCAGATGGATGCGAACGATCCCTTGATTCCTAAACCGCAAAATACCAGCAGCAGCTCTGTCTCGGGTACCCCGACCATGGAGTTCGTACCTGGTTCTGATATCCGCACGACTGTTCCTCCTGTTTCCCTGCCCCCGGGTCAGGCCCCTGTGACAGATTCCGGAATACCGCTGGGTGCCATTCGAGTACCTGGAAAAGATGTTGAGAGGCCTCCATTGCCTCCCAACTCGGCTATGGTGGACGGGGAGCCTGCGCCGTTACCGGGTCTGCCTCAGCAGGAGCCTGACAAGTCTTTACCGTCTTCTGCATCTCCCAAGCCCAAGCCCGCTACTACAGACAAATTCAATGTTTTGGTGGCCGAGGATGATCCGATCAACAGCAAAATCATCCAAAAGCGACTGGAGAAACTGGGTCATAAGGTGCATCTTACGGGTAATGGGGAGGCATGTGCCAGTGCTTATCGTGCGGATTGTAAGAACTTCGATGTCGTTCTTATGGATATCCAGGTACGTCCCC